TATTTAAACAGCAACTCCATTGATTTTGTTCTAACCCAGTGAGGATGAGATTTGCCCTGTAGCCTGAGCACAGCTCCCTCTAATGGTGTGTTTTCTCAACTGCCCTGACACACATCAGGCTGGAGGTGATGTAGGTGTGTTTGACTCTGACTGCTACTTCTGGGTCACAGTGGCTCCCTGCAACACTTGAAACCAACCCCTGAAACCTAGTCCTTCTGGCTGCAGTCATCTGTTGAGCCCCAGCACTTCACGAAGTACTTTAGCACTGCTCACCATCCAAGTTCTCTGCCACCCCTTTCGTAATTCTGGTGATTTCAATAGCTATGCAGACTGTCCCTGAATATATCCTATTTCTGTTATTGCCAATAGCTGTACCCAGTCCATCACCTGAGCTCCACCTCCAAGTCTTCCTCCTTGATGCCAACAATTCCCCAGCCTCACTGTTGCAGGCCTGTGACATCACGGCCCATCCCTTCATTCACTCCTGTGTATTCCCTCAGCTACCTTTCTCCTCAACCCAGGTCAAGTCCACGTCTCTACTGCATGACACTGAGCCTGAGTGGCTGAACCAAACTGGAGAAAATATCTACCCTCATGCTGCTTGTCTCACTTGGACTGCAAGGCTGAGTCCCATTGTCAAGGAGAAGCAGGAATCCTCCCAACCTTCCTTCCATCCTTCCTGCCCCTCCCTCTCCGCTCTCTACTTCAGGTCTTATACATCCTCTGTCTTATACGTCCAACATTTCTTTCCCTTCCTCATTCTCAGCTGATGATGCTTCATCTTTTCACAAAGATGTCACATCCTTCTCCAAAACTCTACCAGCCTACATGTACCTGTTCTACCTGCACTTTCCTCTGTCCTGGGTGAACTGTCAAGGGCCAGTCTCTCCTCCCTGAATTCACTTCTGGTTTGTCTACTCTAGCAGTAGTCCTCTCTCTATGACAACATTTCTCTGTTCTAATGCAGTATTTCCAATCTGTGTATAACACTGCAATTTCTCCCATCTTTACAAAAAAAAAAAAAACCAATCCTTTCCTTTGACTCACTGCCTCCTCCTCCTCCGTGCTCCTCTTTACACTAGAATTCCTTGTTGTTTCAGTCTCTGTCCTCCCATTCTCTTACATCCACTCCAATCAGGTGTCTTTCCTTTCCCACCACTCAGTGACTGCCACACTGCCAGATCCAACAAGCGCTTCTCAATTTACACGGTTGAAAGATCCTGAAAAGTTTTTAGACTTGACTACTTGAAGCCTACCCTAATTTCCTGCAGACTCACTGACATTCCTTCCCAGTCTCTTCCTGGGTCTACCTGATCTCTCTGACATGAAACACCCAGGACTTGGTCTTGGGCTTATTCTCTTTTTTAGCTCTACATGCTTTCATCCTGGCCCACGGCATCAGAACCATGTGTTTGCTGCTAATGCCCAATTACCTTCTCCAGTAATTCAGGGACTTCCCTGAACTCCCAACTCTCAAATCCAACACTTGCCAACTTATTCTTGTTGGGAACCAAACATTTGAACCCTCCCTACTTGGACTCCAAAACTGCCCGTTTTGCTTTCTTCCTCGTGTCAACCCATTGAAAACCCATCGACAACCCATGGACACAAGGTGCTTCCATTCTCTCAGGAACTCAGGCCAAAGTCCTTAGGGAAGAGAACTCCCTTCTCTTTTGCTCAAAGTCTACATCCAATCTACAAGCAAATTTTGTTTTCTTTGAAATACATCCACAAACAAAACACCTCTATGCTCTCCTCTATTCCCATAGTGATCAAAGCCAATGTCATCCCACTTAGACAACTGCAATGCCTCCTTACTAGTCTCTGTGTCTCTACACTTTTCTCTACCCATTCAACCTCACTCTATCCCAAACAACTAGACTTAGACCCCAGAATCATGGTACACTCCAACTCAAAAGCTGGGAGGAGTCTCTTCTCACTCAAACTACAGATCCTTACTGTGGTTTGCAGAACACTGCCTGGTCTGTCCCATCTCAGACTTTCTGGCCTCTCTGGCCTCATCTTCCACCCTTCCCCATCCTTCCTCTGTGTCAGCCACATTGGCCACCTGGCCTATCTGTAAGTGCACCAACCATTCTCCCTCTCCCTGAGACTGTCCCCAGATATCAGCATTGTTCTCTTTGTTCTCTGGCTTCCTCAAGACTACATTGAAATGCTACTTGATCAGCAAGGCCGTTCTTGACCACAGATGTTCTTATCCATCATTCTTTAGCTCCAATAGGTTCCAAAACCTTCTTTATCCCTCCACCTGACATATTAGTTAGATCTTGAGGGACAGACTACTTTGCTCCTTAATGTATTCCCAGTACCTAAAGCATTACTCAGTACACAGTACACGTTTCTAAAAGTTCTGTTGAATAAATGGTGGAACCACACTGAAGGGCAATTGGGCAATGTAAAGGTGATCCAGCTCTTCCATGTCTAGCCTGGGATACAAGAAAATATAAACAAAGATGGCCAGCTGTAGCTTTACCTATAATTCAATGAATATGAAACACACTAAAGGTCCATGGACTAGAATGGCTAAATCGTGGCATAGAATGGAGTCCTAAAAAGACATTAAAATGCCTGTCCTAGAGCTACCTGTATGAACATGAGTGATTCTCAAAAACAAAATGAATAAACAGGTGCACAAGATGTTACTAATGAAAATCTAAATCACTGAAAAACCATTCTTTACACATTTATAGATGAGAATATAAGCAGTAAACATACTATGCTCCAGGACAAGGGTGAACTTCAAGGAAGGAACAGGCTTTCCAAAATACCTATGACATTTTGTTCTTTCAAAAGAGGGTTCTAAGCAAAAACCCTTGTTCCTTCCTATTATTGCTCATACTCTCTCTACAACAAAATTAGAAATAAGGGCAAAATAGTTTCTGCTGGGTATTGAGGGGGTGGGGGGGAGAGGGAGGGGGTGGAGTGGGTGGTAAGGGAGGGGGTGGGGGCAGGGGGGAGAAATGACCCAAGCCTTGTATGCACATATGAATAATAAAAGAAAAAAAAAAAGAGGGTTCTAAAACGAATCTGCAAAACTTAGAATTTGTTCTATCCAACCATCATCGTAGTATTCTCTACTTTTTTTTAACATGAATAGTATTTGTCATGTTACTCTATACTTTTCTATGTTTAAAACAATCCATAGTACTTAAAGCTAAATTTAAATTTTTTAAGTTGCAAGAAAGTGAAATTTCTGAAATAAAACCCAGTAGGCTTGGAAGCAGCTATATTTAAGTAAAAGAGCATCATTTGTTCAGGGAATGTTGCTCATGGCTGTAATTCCAGCATTTAGGAGACTGAGGCAGGAGGATGGTGAGTTTGAGACCCACCTAGGCTACATAGTGGGACCAGGCCTCAAAACAAACACACAAACAAAATCAGCCTTGTTGCTAGGATTATTTGGTTGATATTCTTTGCAGGATAGGGGGTGGTGTTTGAGTCAAAGGAGAAAAAGGAAAGCAGCCCTTTAAGAGGGGAATGTGGGATTGGGCTGTTGCCCTTGGCGGTGAGGGAGGCAGCAGACTGCTGGCTGTCTCAGAAGTCTTGGCAGGGATGTTTGTGTCTAAGGTACTGAGAAACACACTTGCTACACCTGGAAAGTAATTTGAGAAGCCATTGTTTCAGACCTGGAAGAGAAGGTGCAAAGCATCCTTCTCTATTCTACTGTAGAGGTGGAAAAACGAGGTCCATGAGGGGTTCTGAGTTCCCACCCAACTCAAACGCTGATCTCAATTTAAAGCAAAGTCTACCCATGTCACCAAGTTCCCAGGTTTTTTTTCAGAATATAAACATAGGAAATAGTCACTAGCTTAAACTTTTTTATTTCATATGGAAAATATAAGGAAGGAACTGGAAATCAAATGCTTATCCATCAATAGGTGAATGATTAAATAAATTGTGATATAAACACACACACAATTAATTAAGAATGTTCTTAATTATCTGTATTGGCCTGGAAAGATGATTATAATATGTAAGTAGGAAAAGTTATAAAATATATCACTATCTTGTCCTTTTTTTAAAAAGCAAACAAAACACTACGCATACGTGTTTATATAACTTAGCAAACGTATACTAGAATCTGTATACTGTTAAAAATGATAGTGAGTTAGGCTATTATTTTGAATTTATACTTTTCAAAGAATGTAGAGTGGGAGACAAAGAAAATTTGCCTTAAACACATCGCTCAGAAACAATCCCTGTTTCCAAATTATATTTCCCGACTTCTACATAAAACATGTACACAAAAATGTTCACAAAACTAGCCCATACTGCGCACACTCTTTGGAAGCTTCCCTGCTCCCCAGGGCCACAGAGTAGGACGGCCTTGCTTCCTTGTCGGTAGGCAATCATCTTAAAGGCTGCAGCAAATCGGCTGTTGAAGTGACAACCCTTCCCCTCCCCAACCCCGCGCCGGGGGACGGTCGCAGTGCTAGCGGTTTTCCCGGCGTGAATAGCTACAATAAACACACGCTTGCTCGTTCGTTTACTTAGGAGCAATGTGGGTTTCCCGGCCCAAACGCAGATGTACGTTCGGGTTTTGACCCACTCTTCCAAACTGGCAAGTGCGTGACGTTTTTAAATTTTTGTTTGTTTTTTAAATCACACCTCACTCCCACCAACAGTCTGGGAATTCCGTTGGGCGCAGATGGGGAATGACAAAGTCCGGCAGATCGACGCCTCCCGATCAAACCGCAGGGCTTTCCGGGCGCCTTTGAAAGGAAGGAAAGGGATCCGGCGAACCCCGAAACCCGTGCCGGGCCGGGCGCACGGCTGGGGCTGTCCCCGCTGGCACGGAGCTGGGACCAGCAAAGTTTCCCAGGACGGTGGGGCGGCCGCCTGCCCGGCGGACCGCAGATGGGGTGCGGGCGCCCCCCGCGCACTCCCCAGAGGGGCGGGGCGGAGCGCAGGCGGGCGGGGTCTTCGGCGGCGCGGGGCGGGGCAGCTCGGCCCGCCCGCCCGCCCTCCGGCCGCGTCCCCGCCGGCCCTGCCGACGTGGCGGGGCGGGACCGCCGGCGCTCGGCGCGCACTCGGCGGCGGGAGCGGTAAGAGCCCGCGCCCTCTCCCCAGCGTCCCCTTCCCCGGCGGGCGGGCTGGCGGGCGGCGTCGCGGGGTGGGGAGGTCGCGGGGAGACCCTGCCGTCGCTCCCGGTCCCGAGCCCCCCGGTTCCTGCCCTGTGCGGTGGCGAGAAGCCGTCGGCAGGGACCTGGAGCGCGCGCGCCCCGGGACGAGCCGGTCGCGGGTGAAGGTCGGGGAGGCTGGCGCTGCGCGGCCGAGGGCCCTGCGTGGGTGCGGGCGTGTGAGTGTGTGTGTGTGAGTGTGTGTCGCTCGGGTCCACGCTCATGCACACACCCACACGCCCGCACGCCGGGTCTGCCCCCTCGGCCGCTGGACCTCCTCGGAGTCCGCCTCGTCCTCCCGGTGTCCAGTCTCGGCACCACGGGAGCCCAAAAGTTTCCCAGTGCTTCAGGTCCAAGTCGGGGATGGGATGAAGGGTCCCCGAAGCCCGGGGCACGCGGGGAGAGGTCTTTGTAAGGCAAGGGCCTCCACCCCTGGGGTGCGCCTGCTCTTGGCCTTGACCTCCCACCCAGGCCCATCTCTCCACCTTGTAGACCCTGGCTGCCCCAGCCAGCCCTCCAGCCTGGCACTGCCAGGGCTTGGGTACTTCACCCCACCCCAGTTCCCAGCCCTCTCCGCCCAATCGTCGCCTTCTCTATGGACTCTGGTGGGTATTCCAGCCACCCCTGACCAGGCGCCCACACTTCACTGCCTTTTTCTAGATTAGGAAGGGATTTCTCTCCAGAAGGCAGAGAGTGTTGTCTATGCCCTGCTCATCCCATGTGTTCCCGTCCTGGACATCAAGGATTCAAGCAGTGCCTTTATAAATCAGTGTCTCTTGAACTCCACAAGACCTAACCCATCCTGTCATAACCCAACCCGCAGTAACTGGGGGAGCCAGACATCCTCCGGATGCTGTAGCCTCTGACTGCTCCCTTCCTCCCAGTGGCCCTTTCCAACCTCTCCCATGCTCCTGACTCTCTCCCTCTTTTCCTCCATCAAACCTGGGATCCAGAAAGAATCTGATTAACTTCTTACAATGTAAGCCTTAAGCAAAGGGATGAAACTTTAGGGGTGGAATTTGAGGCACAAGTGAGCTAGTGCAGAAGGAATTTGAAAGTGGATTGGGGCCTTCCTGAATCTCAGGGATTCAGACCATGTAAGCAGTCATTTATATATAAGACCAGGTCTATAACCAATATTGTTTCTGTTAAATCAGTGTCAAACACAGTATATTTCAATTCAATAAATATTTGTGGGTCAAACCTGAAGCAAGGTGCTGTTGGCCACAGTCCCAGAGGAGAGAATGACATAGAAATAAATACTTCTAAAGGCAGAAGTAGAAATATGTGCAAAGTCTCACAAAACATAGAAGCAGGAGCAATTAGTTCTTTGGAAGGAGCAGGGCAGATTGAGGAAAATGTCAAGGTAAGAGGTGACAGTAGATGTTGAGTCTCTAAGGGAATTGGAGTTTGCCAGGGAGGTGGAGCAGGGCTGGGCAGAGGACCTTGAGTGAACAAAGGCAGGAGTGTGAAGGTTTATGGTCATCGCAAGCAATGGTGACAGTGTGGGCAGGCAAGGGTGTAGGGTATGTTGAGAGTGGCAGGAGACAAACTCATTGGCACTGGATTATGAGATGCCCAGGAAGGTGCTTAACTCCTAACGGTTCTGAAACAGGAGGTCTGTGCTTCACAAAAATGTCTGGCAGACAGGTGTAGACTCTCCTGTGGCCTGGACATATGGCTTGCCAAGCTGTCCAGGAACTGATTGCCACTCACCCAGAAGTTTTATTCCTGGCCCTTCACTGACTAGCACTTTATTAAACAGGGAGCGGTGATCTCATATAGAATAGCATGTTACCATGTATTTATTTTGCCAAGCAAGGCTATTTAAAAAATGTCATCCACTGTCACTACTTTCTCATACAATGAGAGACATTTTAATACCAAGGAAAAGCATGGAAGCTGAACTTGCAAGATAAAGAATTTTGTTTAATAAATTTAGATTTATGAAAAACTTGAAATCTTGTCCTTGTTTTTCTGTCATCAGAGACTGGCCCCAGTCCTGCAGTCAGGGTTTGGGATAAAAGTATCATTTTGTCCATCCTTACTTTACAGATGAGTAAGGAAGTAACGTCTTGCCAAGAGACACAAATGACCATCCTGGGCTGCCTAGAGTTCATCCCTGACCCTGGGCACTTTCATGTCCTCTGATTTACTGTGCCTGAATAACCTTATCAAAGCCACTTCAAGGTTCTCCCTTCTACTGGGTCAATCTAGTTAAGGCACCTTTCCATCTTTATTTGGTATAATCAGCTGTTTTACTTTTTTTTTTCTTTTTGCAGTGCTGGGGATGGAACCCAGGGTGTGGCGCATGTCAGGCAAGCACTCTCCCACTGAGCTACACTCTTTCGCTGGATAGCTTTTTAACTGTTTCATTTTAACTTCTCAAACAAATCATTCATTTCTGAGGATAGAGATTGTTTCTTCTGTTCTGCACTTATTTGGGGAGCTATGATGTTGCTGCTTCAATATCTTGTATAGTTTTAGGAGCATTTTAGGTGATGAATGAATTTGCTCATGAAAAACTAACTTATTCCCAGCCCACAAAGGCTTCTTTATGTGCCAGCCTCCCTCTCCTTGGAGTTTCCTGAAGCAGCCTCCTTGTTTCTGTGGGTTGGGTCTCCCTAGCGTCAAGCCATGGACACGGCTGCAGTGATGAGTGTTCCAAAGAGAAATCAGGAGACTTCTGACTGTGCCTGTAGGGTGCCTGGGCAGAGAGGCAGCCATTCCAGGAAACGTCAGGTGGATCACGGCTGAAGTCCTGGTGGACTCACAACAGCAGTGCTCAGAAACAGATGTGCATTTAGAACACAGTTTCTAATGGTTTTAGACCAAAGGACATAGCCTTAACAATGGTTACACTTCTCCATTACAGTAGCATCCACAGTCAATCAAGATCTTTCAAACAACAACAAAAAAAAAAGGGTTTTTTTGAGGGGGTGAGGGAGAAGGATGAAGGTAGCATAGAGAAAATTAGATTTATAACAGGTAAAAGTAAATACAGATTAGAGCTGGTGGTCTGGCTCAAGCGGTAAGAGTGCCTGCCTAACAAGTGTGAGACCCTGAGTTCAAACCCTAGTGCCACCAAAAAAAAAAAAAAAAGAAATGCAAGCAATTAGAAGCTAAAATGGGGCCGACTGCATGACATTTTTTAATTATGTAAATGTAAAAATCTGGTCTTTCTGAAATATATATGTTATCTATCACTATTTTTAAAAAACAATATCAGTTCAGCATCTTACAGCTGATTTTTTTGGGTATTTCCAAAGGAATGGTCCGTGTTGCTGGGTGAATGCAGAGCAGCTACGGAGGAGAGAAGTTGTATTGCACCTGTTTTTCTGCACTTCAGGTAATCTGACTTAAGACATTTCTGCCATCAGAGGTAGATGAAGGCTACAGGTTTCCTCCCCTGTGCCTCCCAATCAGGAGCTGTCCTATCATGAACCCAGGTTCTCTTACTAAAATTCAGCCACATACCCACATGTACTTTGGCAACCAGGTGCAGTTATGCAGCCCGTTCTGGTAAGCTTGACCTGCTAGCTCGATGCCCTTTTAGGCCTTTGTGCTAGAGGCAGGACTCAGCCAACCTTCATTCAGCTTCTGCAGTCAGCTCGCAGCTCTGGAAAAAATCTAACTCCAAAGGGCAACAGCCTGCTGGACTTAAGATTATAAGCCTATACCCTGGACGTGTAGGGCAGAAGACACTGACACATTATTTATTACCATTCCACCTGTCTTAAGCACACTCCATTTCACAGGTGGAAAACGATGACTAATACCCCTTATGCTAATATGCACACCTGAAGCGATGGCCACCCAATTACAATTACGGATTTTGAAATGCTTACTAAAGACCCCTAGAAAGTAAATTCCTGAATAGGGCATGTTAATTTACATCCCTCAGGTGTAAATTAAAATGAATTAACATGTACCTATGTTATATGGTATGTGCCAAAGTATTTTAAAATACATATGAACCACATAACGGCACAATTAGGACAAATATATACACAGAAGTGTCCATAAAATGGTTTCATTTGCATGTGTGTATTTGCCATAGCCAGGTTTGTTCTCATACTCTGCTTATGGAAAAGTGAAGTAGATTAGTACTTCTTACTAATTCAGATTAATAATAATTCACAATAAAAGGTAATGTTCAAATTACCTTTGAATGAAAGAAAAATATCAGATAAGGTTTATGACCAGTGACAGATGAAAACATGGGAATAAAAGGGATACCAAAGTATCATGGACCTATTCTCCTTAAGGTTGTGACCCTAAAACCCATGCAAAGATAGGGTAAATTAAGACAGAAGTCTTGGGCCAGGAATGGTAACTCATACCTTTAATCTCAGCTACTTGGGAGGTAGAGCTAAGAAGATTGCAGTGCAGCCTGGTCCCAAACAAAAGCATGAGACCCTATCTGAAAATAAGTAAAGTAAAAAGAGTTCAAGGGGTAGAGTGTATGCCTAGCAAGTGTGAGGCCCTGAACTCAAAAACCCAGTACTGTAATAAATAAAATTAAACCAGAAATCTTTAAGCTGTAGCAATCAAGTGATGTCCTAAGCCCTACATGGGCCAGCAAACACTTTCTATCGCAGGCCAGAAAGTAAATATTTTAGGCTGTGTGACTTTGCAGGCCATATGGTTTATGTTGCCACTATATAGCAACACAACTGTATGTCTCTGTCCAATAAAGTTTTGTTTACCAAAAGAGGCAGAAAGGGCAAGATTTCCCAGCACATTTCAGTTTGCCAACCCCTTGTCCTAGGCCAGACCTGACTCAGGTTTTTCACAAAAATTTTTATTAACTTCCAAATGGCAATAGTTTTCAACCACAACAACCACTTTTCTGCAGTTTTTCTGCCAAAGCCTACTATTTCAACTAGGCTTTGAATAGATTCCCCATGATAGCTCATGACCAACCTTGAACATCCCAAACTTAATGTATTTGCTAGAGGGAAGTAAGCATTCTTTGCAAACTTTTCCATCTGTGGATTTGTTCACCAAAGTGTTTTCACTGAATTCAAGGTCTGGAAGATATTTGTGTTTAAAAAAAACCATCTAGCTTAATGCCATAGCTTACAGCTAGAATGTCCCCCAAAGACCATGTGTTAAACCTTCGTCCCCAGCTTGTCTCAAAGGGGGACCTTTGAGAATACTTTCCACTTGGGGGGCCTAGTGGGAAAACTTCCAGCCACTGGGCTGAGTCAAAGTGGGACTTAAGCCCCTCTTCCTCTTCCTCTTTTTCACTTCCTGGCCATAAGGTGAGCAGTTTAGCTCTACCATGTGCTCCCATCATGATACATGGCCTTGCCACAGGCCCAAAAGCCAACTAGTCATGAACTGAGACCCCCAAAACTGTAAGCCAAAATAAACTTTTTGTCTTTATAAGTTGATCATTTCAGGAGGTTGTTATAGTGACAGGAAGTTGACTAGCGTACTCAGTTAACTGAGAGGTGAAGGAACAAAAGAAAAACAATATAGAATTACAGAGTCATCTGGAACCACCTACTGTACCGGAGCACCTGAGTTTTGCCATGCCTAATACAACTCAACAGGCATATTTGTTGAACTTCCCACTGTGTGCAAAAAAATCACAGTAAGTGCCATATAAAAACAAAACAAGGAAGACCCTTGTCTTCAATGAATTGAAGTTATAGTAGAGAAAAAAACTCATGCAATTTTAATCAAAGAGAATGATAATTGTCCAAGATAATATAAGTGCAAAGCACTCTAGGAATTCATAAGAAAAATTAAATCCAATTGGGAGGAATAAAGAACAGAGGAGGTGGTTGTTTTATCTGAACCTTAAATGTGTAAAAAAGAAAAATGGTGTGCCTCAAGTGGCATAAGCACATATGCCTTATGTGCTTCCTAGCAAGCTACATAAGCCCTAAATTCAAACCCCAGTACTGCCAAAATAAATAAATAAATAATTTTTAAAAAGTATATTGAACCAACAGGCACCTGAGGGCCTATGAATGTCAGATGGTTACACTGATACTCTAGATTCTTCCTATGGTGAAGTTTTAGTCAATGACAGCTCTGAAATTTTTAAGCCTGGATTGTTGGGAAATCTAAGATTTGATATACTAGATACAAAAGACAAAATCAAGTATCAAGAGTAAGACAAGTGTCCTTTGGCACAGAGGAGATATTCAACTGGCCATTAGAGCTGTTGACTCAAGGTGGATATTTTTAATATCAGCATTATTGAGATATAACTCATATCGTGAAGTTTATGATATTTACAGATTTATAAATCCACTCTTTTAAAGTGTATGGTTCAGTGGTTTTGGTATATTTACAGAACTGTACAGCCACTGCCATTATCTAGTTTTAGGTCGTTTTTATTATCCCCAAGAGGAGGCTTATACCCATTAGCATCCCTCCTCATTCCCTCTTTTCAGCTCTGAAAACCTAACAACCTACTTTCTGTCTCTGTGGAATCGAGTAGTTATCTGGGAGCCACAGCATAGAGTAGTGTGTGAAAACTGTCAGAAAGGAAGGTGACCCACCAAGGGAGAAAACAGCAATAGAAAAGACCAGACACCTTGTACAGTGACTGTCCCAGGAGCCAGGGGCCTGGCATGAGCCATGTGAATAAGCCAGTCTCTCCCCATGGCCAGTGTGTTAAATGGCTTCTCATGCACCTTGATTATACTTTATTTTATTTTTTTTTATTCATATGTGCATACAATGTTTGGGTCATTTCTCCCCCCTTCTCCCCCCATCCCCTCGCTACCCAGCAGAAACTATTTTGCCCTTATCTCTAATTTTGTTGAAGAGAGAATATAAGCAATAATAGGAAGGAACAAGGGTTTTTGCTAGTTGAGGTAAGAATAGCTATACAGGGAGTTGACTCACATTAATTTCCTGTGCGTGTGTGTTACCTTCTAGGTTAATTCTTTTTGATCTAACCTTTTCTCTAGTTCCTGGTCCCCTTCTTCTATTGGCCTCTATTACTTTAAAGTATCTGGTTTAGTTTCTCTGCGTTAAGGGCAACAAATGCTATCTAGTTTTTTAGGTGGCTTACCTATCCTCACCCCTCCCTTGTGTGCTCTGGCTTTGTCATGTGATCAAAGTCCAATCCCCTTGTTGTGTTTGCCCTTGATCTAATGTCCGCATATGAGGGAGAACATACGATTTTTGGTCTTTTGGGCCAGGCTAACCTCACTCACAATGATGTTCTCCAATTCCATCCATTTACCAGCGAATGATAACATTTCGTTCTTCTTCATGGCTGCATAAAATTCCATTGTGTATAGATACCAAATTTTCTTGATCCATTCGTCAGTGCTGGGGCATCTTGGCTGTTTCCATAACTTGGCTATTGTGAATAGTGCCGCAATAAACATGGGTGTGCAGGTGCCCCTGGAGTAACTTGTGTCACAGTCTTTTGGGTATATCCCCAAGAGATACACCTTGATTTTAGCAGCAACCTAAGATTTGACCAGTCAGTAAACACTGAGGTCAACAAAAATACTCACTTGCCTGAGAGTTGGCTTCCTATGTAGTTAAGAGCACCATGCACTTTAGCCTAAGCAGACGATCATCTTGAACTAGCCTTCTTGATCTATCCTCTCCAAGAAGGTAACCACTGGCCACATGTGCCTATGTACATTTAAATGATTAAAAATTAAGTAAAATTAAAATTTGAGTTCCTCTGTTGCACCAGCCACATTCCAAGTGCTCAGTAGCTGCTCATTAGTTACCACATTGGACAGCGCAGATACAGAAAATTTTCATCATCACAGAAAATTCTATTGGGCAACACCATTCTACATGATATCAACAGCTGGTTAGCTTCAAAACAAGTTTTGTGCTTGGTAGATTCTTTTGTAATGGCTACATTCCTTGTTTAGTTTCTTCACTTCTTTCCATTTCATCCCTGTGTTTCCCTGGCAAAATTATTGTTCCACCTGAGCCCAGAACTTCACCAGCTGGTCCCCAAGAAAGCATCTGCATGTACGTGTGTCACTTTCTCACTGAATCTCTGATGATATTGCAAAACTAACTGAAAAATGTTGTTTGATAAGGTCTTAAATATTTTCTGTGCTGTTCTCATTATTTGCAACAAAGATAATAAAGTCAGATTAAATAACTTTACAGACACAGATAATACTCTCAGTTCCCTTGTGCACATCCCTCCAGGCTAAGAAAGAGATCCTTGAAAGTTTGAAGATCAGCCTGCACGTCTATATTAGTTTCCTATGCCTGTTGTGCACAACACATTTAGTGGTTCACACCAACACAAATTTATTCTCTGGCAGTCAGAAATGAGTTTCCTTGGGCTAAGGTCAAAGCACTACCAGGGCTGGTTCCTTTTGGAGTGTTAGAGGGAACAATGGTTTCTTTGCCTTCTTCATCCTCTACTGGCTGCCTGGATTCCTTGTGGTCCCTTCCTTCATCTTCAAAGTACATCACTCCAGTATCTCTGCTCTGTCATCACATCACCTTCTCCTCCTTGTAGTCAAATCCTCCTCTGCTTCCTTCAAATGAAAACATTTGTGACTACATTTAGGGCCCATTCAGATAAGTCAATAATCTCCCTATCTCAAGATCTATAACAAGATCATATCCACAGTGTTCCTTTTGCCATGTAAAGGAACATCCATGGGTTGCAGAGATTAGAAATGGGACCATTATTTAGCCTCCACAAGATTACCTAAAAATTCCTTAATCATAGAAGGAAGTTTAGCCTTAGTAGGCTTAATTAAGTTATCTGAAGCTTTGAATGAAAGCTTAATTCAGATTAAAGCATTGTTTATAATCATGTTGGCAGATATTAAAATGTCTGATGATGCTGGTGACACCTTAGCCACTGGAGACAGAGCAGTTATCACTGAAATGCCCAGGAGTGATTCTTCCCCTGAAGATGCAGAAATGCCCAGTGACCCGGCTACAGCTTCACACAAGCCACCACAGCCAGGTGATCCCAGGGGAGATTTGCATGAGAATGAAGCTGGACAGGGTGCAGAGCCCCCTGCTGCTCTGCACTCAGAACAGTCCAAAGACACTGGTACCAAGGACACCGCCACAGAGACTCCCCTCAATGGAGAAGTGACTGAGGACACCCTGGCTGAGTGCACTGATTCTGTCAGCCTCGAGGGAGAACCTGGATCTGAAATACCCCTGAAAGAACAAAGTGATCTGGTAAGTGTCACTCAGTTCACTTTGACTCAAGTTCTTCCCCATACCCAGTCTCAGAGATTGTTTTCTGTTGCTAATAACACAGTGTCACAGACTGGATAAGTTATAAAGACAAGAGGTTTATTTTGGCTCATGATGCTGGTCCAAGATCCAGGGGCCACATCTGGCACAGTTCCTAGGCAGCTCAGGACATCAATTGGCAAGAGCTAGGGTGCACAAGAGACCTAGTCAAACTGCCTATTATAGCAGACCTACTCTCAAGGTAATCCATTAACCTGTTGATTCATTGCTCCCATGGCTGGGCTAATCCATTCATGAGGGCAGAGCCCTAAATCACCTCTTTTTATTTCTTTATTTTTTGTGGTGTTAGGGATCAAACCCAGAGCCTTACACATGCTAGGCAATCACTTCACCACTGAGCTACTCTCCTCAACCCTGTAATCACCTGGTCCACTTCCTCATAGCTCACAATGGGGATTAAATTTTAAGTTTCAGAGGGAACAAAGCATATTCAATCCACGGTACCTACCATGTGCAGAGCTTTGTGCTAGGCTCTGTAGGTGGGAACTAAGAGCTCCAGATATGCTGTGGTATCACCTCCATCACCAAAAGATGTGTTGTATGGTGCAATAAGTCATATGCAAGAATAATTTGTTGCTATAATATTTGTATTTTGATAATTAAATGATTAATAATAAGGTAGACACAGTCTGTGACTATCTTATGTGTTGTGTAATTAATCCTCTCTATACAATAGTTCAGAGCTGGGTGTTATTAACTCCAGTTTATAGATGTGGCACCCAGGCTCAGGCATGTTACACAGCTTGTCATGGACTGCTCAGTAGATAATAGAAGATGTCAGACTTAGTGACTCCAAATGATGAAGAAGCTGGATTCTACCCTGAAGAAAAAGTCAGTGTTTCTGGAGGACTACTGAAATTCTACTGCAGAGTCACCAACTCACCTTGGGGATCTTCAACATTTAGTCTCTATTTTGCCACAGTGGGCCACCTTCTAGGGGTCCAGAGACAGCATATTCATTGTCCTCAGCTCTCAGTGCCTGCCCTGTCCTTCTGGAGGGTAAGCAAAGTCCTCATCTCCCTGTTGGTATCTGGTACTACATGAACACACCCATCCAAGCTGGGTTTTCCTGGTGTCTTCCCCTCTGGGCAAACTATTATGGGAAACTGGTTCCTAGTTTTTATTTAGAGTACTCCTTTCAGTAAATATATGAGTACAGTAAGAAATGAGCCACAAAATTCTGATCTGAGATGATTAAAGAAACCACGCTGGGCCAGACTTGGTGGCTCACACCTACAATCCCAGCTACTCAGGACACAGAGAACAGCAGGAGGATTATTGTTGAAGACCAACCCAGGCAAAAAGTTAGTGAGACTCCAGCTCAATCAAATTCAATCTATAATCCCAGCTACGTGGGAGGCATAGGTAGGATTAGAGTCTAAGCTGGTCCCAGGCAATAACATGAGACCCTATCCAAAAAATAACTGAAGCAAAAAAGGTTTGTAGCTGTGGATCCATGGATCCATATACCGCTGATGGATAGATTGTATGTTCCAGTCTCAAACTTCTAACAGTTCTAATAGACTTGTCAATGAAGGTAGCATAGTAAAACAATCAGTGCATGCCCACCTTCTCTGCCTTTGTAAATTGTTTTAGCAAATTGGATGAATCCTACTTTGTAAATATCCCATAAACCTCTTTAATGCTACAGAAATAGAGCATGTTGGCAACAGATACACCCCGCCACAATACACACACACACACACACACACGCTCACACTCACACACCCCACCCTAATAGCATTGCAAGGACTTTGGAAAGATAAGCACCTCCTCGTCATGAAGTGTCATGGAAGTGGGAGCACTGGCCACAGAGCTGGGTCTGTAGCTCTGGATGTATGTGCGTGACATTGCATCAGGAGCTCAGCTAGAAGCAAGGCACAGAGGAGAGGTATGTGAGCATGTTTGATCCAAGAAGGGAAGAAAACTGACAGGCTGGCTGAAAGGGCCTTGAGGAGGGAGGATATCTCTTTCACCCAGGTCATATTTAACCCTTCTGGATAGGTGTAAATTTATTCTCTTTAGGAGGATTATCAAAAAAGGGTATTCACTGTCTCTCTTAGTTACTTATTCAGAGTTACTTAAGTTAATATAAGAAGAGGTCAATTTTATGCCTAGTCTTTGGGTATTATTCATTTATTCTATTTTATTTGCCCGTCATTGGACATTTATAAGAAGTCTTTTTGCAGTAATGGCAATAACTCTTTCTCTGTCAATCGTGAAGAGAATGAATTTTACAACAAACAAAAAACAAAAGCCACCTGAAATCAAAAGTTTATTTACAGGTTGCTTATTTGGATATTGAACATGGGTCCCCAAGTAATGTCAAGGAAAACAGCCAAACTCAAAGCCTATTTGACCCCAGGTGTACCTAAGCCTGATAAAATTTCATCATCCTTGAAAAAGGTTTCCACGGGAAATTCCTGATGAAAAAAATACTGGTAGAATGGTCTTTGAAGAAGTACACAATAATGTCTTCTAGAACACACTAGATTTTGTGACGATATGCATAAATTACTATATGTTTCTGTAAGGGATTTGTGTCTACGTAGTTACTTTGGGACTGAGTTTCCTTAAAACCATACCACTGGGTTCACCTTGTAGTGGAGGCTATACCTTGGCCAATAGGGTGGTTGACCAGCTCAAGGCCAGAGAAGAGAATGAGACCAGTAACCTATCAGATCCTATCAGATCCCTGCATTAAAAGATCCCACCATTATACACAAAAAGAAACCATCTTTGGTTTGGGGTTCCATTTCTTCCTCATCTATCCTTATATACAGACTCAGAAGCCATGGAGTTGAGCCTTCCTGCAAGAATCCCTTTGAAAACCTGCATAAAAGAGAGGTCCCATCCTTACTTGAATGTTGGAGGTTGGAACAGACTCCTTGATGACATGCTTTATATCCAGAAATACGATATAACTGTCTTCAGGGATGCCTACAGTCTAGTGGGGGAAGGCTGTGTTGTATAGAAGCAGTTATGACAGGTCCTGTAGCACAAGGGAAGCCTTCAGTGGAGCACTTCAACCAAACTTAAGGAGTTGGGGAAGTTTTCAGCCTAAATTTAGATAGATTTGTCTTGTATACTTGGAAATGATATTTGTTCCCAGGGTCTTATGGGACTTTATTGTATGTTAGCCTATCAACCTTTAAAAGACCCAACCTAAGTCAAGTTTCTCTAAATTCTTAACACCAAGAAATGTACCTAGAATTTTTTTTAAAAGTCATCCTTGCTGTGCAACACCAATGCATAAGGTCAGTTATGGAGAAGATTAAGAATTCCACAGTTACTGCTACAAATACTCTGAAATGAAAACTCCAGACTGTAGACAGCCACCAACTCGCTCTCTCCCTTGAAAAGGAAAAGCAGAATATTTAAGGGCCATCAGATTGCTGGCAAAGGCAGCAAAAGGGAGGAAACACAGGCCAGGCTTTGCTAGTAGCAGAATTTTGCATCGTGAACTGGATGAGTAGCATCTGTTGCTTTTCTGTTTAATTTTTCTTCTTGTAGGCCTGCCATGAAAGATGGCATCCAACTTCTGGCTTGGGCAACCAGGTGCCATTTGGCAACATAGAGCAAAATCCAGTAGCAAATTGGAATCATCTGGGATACTTGTTAAAAATTCAGATTCCTGGTCTCTACCCTGAGAGATTCTTATTCAAAAAATCTCAGTGGAAACTGTGACTACTTTTGGTGACTTACTCCAAATTACATTCTTAGTCAGTTAGTGGACCAGTGTTTGAGGATCACTAATACTAGGAGACAAAAGAGCTAGTTAGGGGATATGGAGAAATTGAGAAGATGGTGAGAACAGTATTGAATGTGCCATGGGACATAAGAGGGAAGATATTTTGTGGACAGTTGACTATGATAGTCTTGAGAGACAGATTACTTACAAGCTCTCAGCATCTTAGTGGTTATTTAAGTCATGGAAGTAGTGAGATTGTTCAGGTGTTATGTACAAATAAAGAAGAGAAACCAAGGACCCACCCCTTGAATACTCTTGTCTCTAAGCCAATCTAAATATGCACACCACTTAGATTTTTATTTATTTATTTATGGGTTGGTTTGGGGTTTTTTGGGGGTTTTTTTTGGTAGTTTGTCATAGACAGGAAAGAAGTTCAAGTGATGAGGGTTACTGCTGCTGTCCATGGTCTTACCACCACATTCTGTAAATAAAACAAAGTCTCAAATCGCGTTGGATCCACACTGACATTTTAAATCAAATGTTAACTAACATGAGAGTTAAAAAACAGTTCATGAGAACTGTTCACTATGTAGGTTGAGAACATTTTTCTGCCCTTTCTGGTGTTTTGTCTACCACCTTGAGTGAAAGGCTCACTGGTGTTCAGAAGTAGGGTTTTTTCCCTGAGAAGAATCCTCACATCAAATAACCTGAATTCCTGAGTTGAAAGCTGAGTGGAAGACCATTTGCATGAGGCCAAATCCTTCCTTATACCCTATTCATGTAAAAGTAGGAAAAATTTCTTATGTAGATTTAGCCATCTACAAATCTTGAATACCTTTCATGTTTTTATCCAGATCTCTTTCAGATACTGAGAATGCTAAAAAGTACAGCATGTTTACCAATTAAAATCCATTACTGCAATTCAGTATGCTAATTAGCAAAGCATCAGGTGTTCATAGAGACACAGACAATAGAATTGCTCAGTGTCTGTCTTGTAGTATGGCTTTCCAGCTGACCCCCCTGGACTGTCCAAATTTACTGGAATGCTGACAGTACTTGGATTGCAGCTTAATCTAAGAAGTATACATAATACCACACTAGGCCTGTAGGAAAATTCTGAAGTAAATAACAAATCATAATACTAAATGCTGGGCAGAGTCAGAACAGAATGTGAGTTTGGCTATAGTTTGAGTTGGTCCCCTAAGAGTGTATGTGTTGGAAGATTGGTTCTTATGTGGTAATGGTGGGAGGTGGGACCCGTGGGAGGTGGGGCCTACTAAGAAAGCCTATGGGAGGAGCTGTCCTAAGAATGAAATAAGGTAGCTCTACTGAGACCCCAGAGCTCTCATGAGAATGAGTTGTTAGAGCATGAGCCTGACCCCCAGAGTTGCTCTCTGGCACTTTGTTTTGAGATCTAATCTCTTCCCCACACACTCCACCATTTGGGACGCCATCCACCATGAGGCCCTCATCAGAATTAAGCCATTCCAGCATCTCGCCCTTGATTCTCTGCAATTAATCGAATGTTAGCCTGTCTCCAGTATTTTGTTGCAAGAACAAAAACTGACGAACACAGACACCAAGAGGATAGAGTACTTTAAGGATATAAAAGTGGTTAAGCTTCAGATGCTACTGAGAGGTCAAGTAATAAAAGATAAAAATGAGTCAGTCCCTGGCTTTGACAACAAGAAAGCCATTGTGGGATGAGAAGGAAGCCATCAAGGGATGAGAATGGCTTATAAGGTAGTGATGTGGGAATCTTGCTGTGTTGGGTGGCAAAGTAAAGAGAAGGGTGGATACAGTAGGTAGGCAGCTTTTCTTTAAAAAATGAGGGCGAAGAAGAAAGATGTGGGACAGAAACCAGATAAGTTTGAAAGAAACACTTGGTTCCTGTGATTTTCATTTGCTGGTACTAAGATGGAGAAATTCCATGCATGACCAAATGTAGGAAGGAGCCAATAGAGAGAAAGGTTGAAAAGCTAGGAGAGGGGATGAGTACCCTACCCAGGGCTAGAGGTGGAGGTGACAGTGGTGACCAAAAAGAAGATATCATTCCTGTGCTTCTAGGAGAGAGGAAATTAAATCTAAGCATAGTTAGTTCTGGTTTAGATGGGGTTTGGTGGAAGCCAATGTATGTTTTGTGCGTAGAAAGAACTACTTAGACATTTAATGTGCTTTAAACAATTAGTGTTCAATTTATTAAGGTTGCAGATTCACACTATTCTTACTTTTGTTTTATGTTCATCTCACAAATCCTATTCTATTTAGAAGTCTAGCAAATTGAACAGTCATACTCCAGGAGTTTTAAATTAATGTTAGATCCTTTTTACCAACTTAAACACATTCAGATTTTTAAACTGCATTTAAAAGTGTGATATATTCTATTTCCTTTTTAAGTACCTCATTTATCTACATAATAAAACCTTGCTGAGTACTTAACAATTGCTATCTAGCTATTAAATTAAATTTATAGAGTGGACATAAAGACCTCTTAAATATTATACTAGCATGCATAAACTTAGGAGAAGTTCAGCTTAAAATCCTAAATCTAATAATTCAAGTATTCATCCTAAATTGGTTTTCAAAAATTGACACTCTGTCAAATTCCATAAATATTGGTAGGACAGAAAAGATCAGATGTGCACAAAATATTAATAGCATGGCTTTGAGGCTTTAAACCTTTCTATATTTAATTTTTAAATCTTCCCAGAGTTGAATGATGTATACTCATGATGGAAGAACATAATTTGGAAATAACTGAGGTAATATCCAGGCAGATATTTTGCCAGAGCTGCAGGTATTCCAGAGTAATTCACATCCTCCCCAGTCCTATGGAGCCTGCTTTTAGATTAAGTGTCATGAGTTACAAAACTCAAAAAAGGGTTTGGTTTCATGGGTCCAATTGCCCACCTCCCTGCATGCAAGATATGCATAGTTCCTGATTCCTTATCTACCTAAGAGAATAGGAGACCAGGCTGGTGTTTAATCTTTAAGACAGAGTCATGTATCTTCCATCTAAATATTAAAGACTTTTTTTTTTTTTGCATTTGATGGAATTCTGAGGTTTATAAACTAGTTTCTATATAATGACACCTTTGAACTTGATAGCATAAACTGAATAAATTCACTTATTTTGCTGGGATGGAACTAGGGTCTCACACATTTTAGGCAAATGCTCTCTGATGGAGCCCCATACCCAGCCCCAGTAAATGTATTTTTTAATTTAATGATAAAGACCTTTAAATGTCTTTTCTAATTGAAGAACTTTGAACTTGATGAGATCCTCCATTTTTCCATCTTCTTAGAACCACACAGTGGTTGTAGATGTTTAAATGACCTCTACTTGAGTTTTGGATATCCTTGATTTGCTATTACAATGTGAGGTCATTCTTCTGAGAGTTTATGGGGAAGGAGCAGAAAGTCTAGAGAATTCTCATCTGATGGCTTCAGCTTTTTCTATGAGTTAGGACATGAAGTTCTCTACTAAAGGAGATTAGGGTTACATGGGGAGAAGGTGAGAAAAAAGCACTAAGGTAATTATATATGATAATGAAAGATCTGAGTTGATCTGTACTGCCTGTTTCATAATCTCCTAACTGTGTGGCATTAAGGCCATTTAAAGTAGAGGCACTATTCATAATGAGATATATTTATAATTCATGTTTAACCTTTAGGTTTTTGGATTAAGGGTGTGCATTTAGTCATTTGAGTATTTTTCATTGATTATAAATATTCTTTGTAACTGATCAAGAAGTCCCAGCTCAGTATCAAAGGGCTTTATTAATAAAGCAATTAAGAGTCATTATTATATGGGAAAAAGTTCTAGACTCATTTAACATTTCTTTCCATTTGCTAGTCAATTACCGGCTGTCAGAGCATATTAAATATTGTAAATTTGAGTCAAGAGCTGTCACCCTTAAGTGTATTAAGTCTCCCTAATCACAGGTAGTGCTGTGTCCTATGAAAGAATGATATTAATCATCAACTCACATCTGTCTTCATGATGGTATAAATTGCCAGTGGTTTCCATTGCTGAGTGAAGTAAATCAATGTGGACACACAAATGAAAACAGACAGTCATGAGTCATGAGTACTTCCATTCATGTTAACCGGCTTTGCACTGTTTCCAGACAATATGAAAAAATGAAAGCCAATTTTCAAAGCTTCTTGCTTCTTAATCTTAAAAATCCAATTTCTTATTACTATTAGTAACATTTCTGGAGTATTTATTGTGTGCCAGGAACTATGCTTACAACTTTATATGAGTTATTTCTTTTAAATCTTCACAATGCCTATGAGATTATTGGTTCTGAAATGGTTACTGGTTCTGGTTGGTTACTAGTTCTTGTAGTCTCACATTTTGTAATGAGGAAATGAAGACTTAGAACTTGAGTAACTTTTGCCCAAAATGGTAGATCCTGGACTCAACCCAGGAAATTTAATTCCATAATCTTTTCTCTTGCCCAGTTCTGTTCACAGATGGATAGAGTTTGATACTTTCTGGGTACATCAATTGGGAATGCATTTGGTTACACACATATAACATAGAGTGATTTACAAAGTAGCAATCTACTTTTCCTCACTTAACAGAAAGGATGGAAACAGGCAGCAACTCACATTGGGTTAGTACTTCTCAGTGCCATGACCAGTGACTCTGGCTCCTTGGCCTGTTCCTAATGGCAACAAAAATGACTGCTTCAATTTCAAGCATTGCGTCCACATTAAGCGAAGGAGCAAGGGAGAGGGATAGAGTTGGCACTACCAACTCTTTGTCATAGATCAAATGTATATTATGGCTGGAAAACTTTCACATGGCTATCCTTATGGGTAAGGATAGAAGACAGCAATGGAGAAGGGAGTTAGGAATGATCAGTGAACCAGCCTTGAGTCAAAGTTGTAGAATCTACAAGCTGTATAGGAGTTTTTCACATCCTTCCTAATAAAACTTCCTCCCTCCCTACCTTCTTTCCTTCCGTCTCCCTTTCTTTGAGTGGAAAAGCTGTGATCCTCTATATAGCTAGCTCTTACTATATTTATTCTTGCCTTGTGTTTTAGAACGTATTCCTAGATAGTAAGAGATAGCTAATTGTGTCAGCATTCATTGGGTACAAGTAACAGAAACTAAGGCACACCTAACTGAGAGGTGAATTTCAGTCATTTATCCAGCAAATATTTATTAAGCACTCACTATATTCCAGGCACTCTTCTAGACTCTAGGGATATATATCAGTGAACAAAACATTTAAAAAAAAAGAGTAAGCAAAACTATGAATGAATCTCAGAGGACCCAACAACAGACAGGAATGGAGCAGTGCCTCGGGAGGGACAGAAACCAGAAACTGGAAAACTACTAGAAATCTGAATGTCCCTCTGAGCATTTCTCCATCATTTTGCTCACACTGCTTTATATTGGTTCTTAGTCAGCACGGGGAGTAGAAGAGGGTCAGCCACATAGCTTGAGTTTTGATCCTCTTTTTAAGCAAATAGCTCATGTTGAACCACAGTCTCTCAGGCCCAATTTCAGAATTCTGGGGAAAAGAATTTGAATCCCCCAGGAGGCCAGGGACAGTCTCACCCCTGAGTGAGAGATGGAGTTACGGAGGCCATTTGAGGGGAGCAGACACCTCAAATAGAAAGGTATCTCCCTCACAAAGTTTTTGTTGTGGCCACTCACCTCCAGGCTTGTTGAAGTCCTTGCCAGACTCTGTCCATCTTCCATGCCGGGCTTCTCCCTCCCCCATCTGAAGTCAGTTCTGCTTAAAGAGCACATTTGCTCATCTCTGTAAGAACTGCTTGAATCAAGGTCATACTGAACGTTTTGGAACCACTTTTGTGCTCTTAATGCATTAAGCCTTCCCCCTACTCCCCATAGCTCTGATCTCTGTCTTCCAGATAATGGGAGAATCTCTTCTCACTTCAGATCAAGCTCCCAGGAGCCAACACCTCCATTAATTTGGCTCACTTTGGTTCCAAAGTCCACATTGCAATGTGGGTCAAGATACTGTTTTATGACCCATATAAACTATAAGCCAGTGAGCTATGCTTGTTCGTGATTTAAAAAAAAAAACAAACATCTCTGTTTCAAACCAAGGCGTGTTTTTCCATTCAGGGATCAACTGAATTGCTGACATGCTGCTAATCTGTTTCTCTACAGGATGCAGGTTCCCCTCCACAGGGAGGAGGATGGGCAGGCTGGGGCTCCTGGGGCAAATCTCTGCTCTCCTCTGCATCTGCCACAGTAGGTAAGCCCTGTGTGTTATATTGGAGTAAGATTCAGAAGCCTAACAGGATGTGACGCTTTGACTGTACTGTATTTTCAACCATTTTTGTGCTTGCTGTTCCAGCTGCTTTGTATATATTGATACATTTATCCCTCAAAATGACCCTATAGAAAGGTACTCTTATTTCTTCTACTTAACAGATAAGGAAGCTGAATCACAGAAAGACTAGGACCTGGTCCAAAGTCAAGAATGTCTGGGTTGGAACTTGAAAAACATGTAGTATGTGCGTTTTCACCACTGTATTATTTTGTCTATTAAAACATAATGTTAGCCAAGCACCAGTGCTCATGCCTGTAATCCTAGCTACTTAGGAAGCAGAGATCAGGAGGATCATGGTTTGAAGCCAGCCCAGGCAAATAGTTTGAGAAACCCTACTTGAAAAAACCCAACACAAAAATAGGGTTGGTGGAGTGGCTCAAGATGTAGGCCCTGAGTTCAAGCCCCAGTACCAAAAAAACAAAACAAACAAACAAAAAAAAACACCATAAATTTAGGTCTTATAGTAATTTTTGAAGCAGGATCTCACTATATGTCCTAGGGTGGCTTCAAACTCATTATATAACCCAGGCTGCCCTCCAACTTGTGATCCTTCTGCCTCAGCCTCCTAAATGCTGGGATTACAGTCATATGCCACTATATATTTCTAAAGCTATGTGTTTATCATCTTGCTTGAATGTGTTTAAATGTGCATCTCACCTGTTCCCTAAAAGAATTTGAGGTATCTTGATAAAAGGCATTTCATCAGTATTAAAATACCAATAGAACAATTTATGCAGGTAGGAAGAGTATATAAATATATCGTAGAATTACTATAATTGAATGTTGACCTTGACTTTGAGATTCCTGGCTTCTAGCATATTAGTTTTCATTGAATGATACATTTTAGTTTATCTATGTAACTCTGTTTTCCTTGTTTTAAGTTTTAAAAGAAGTTTCCTATATCTGTTCTTACACAAAGAGAAAGTACAAAGGCCAATCTCTGTAGTGGATCTGGTTTGTCAAGATGTTCTTCCTGTTACCATTTCTCATGTCCAGCCTTTGGGAAAACTGGAGGTACAGTAGTAACAGCTGTAAGCTAACTTAGTAGAGGCATTTCATATTGAAGGTGGAGGGCAGGGAGAAAAATGTGAAGCCACAGGTATCACAGCTTTCAGATCATCTTCCCCAGGTATTTTCAAGGTACAGCCTATGGACATGAGAATTTTGTGATGGACCATAAGTTGGTCCTGTTCAGTGTTGCTCCTAAAACCAAGAGTTGTGGGAAGGCCTTGAGTGTTTGTAGCTAACCCCAGTAGACCATTGTCATCAAGGGTTTAAGGATCAACCACCTAACTTGACAGACCTTAGACCACCTAGAAGAATGGATAGACTGTCTTCTTCTAATGGAGTCCCTGTCCAGTATCAGTTTTCTCATGAGGAACCTGGCAAGAGGTACAGAGTGAACGCATAAATGTTGAGCTGTCTGGCTAGAGGGCAGATTCTCTCCATTTGAAGGGGTCAGGCACGCCTCAAATGTCACATGCACAGATGACAGAATTAACCAAATTAAAGTGAAGGAGCCTCTTTGCTTTCTGAGCAGGAGTCAAGGAACAAGCATCTGCGGGCATGCTCCTTCCTTGGAAAAATGTTTGAACTCTTAGTGGCCTTCAAATGGGTCTTACGAGTGGCTGTTTCTGAACCAACAACTAAAAATGGGGACTCTGGAAGCTTATTTTAAAATTGGAGTAAATGGCTGGGGATGTAGGTCAGTGGTACAGTGTTTGCCTAGCATGCACAAGGCCCTGGGATCAATCCCCAGCACCACAAAAAAAAAATTGGCATAAATTATAGAAACCAAAATAATATGGTCACCAGAATTTCACAGCTCTCATCAAAGGTTATATCATAAAGCAACAGAGTGTTCTGGATGCTCCTGGTTATAGTGGTGTCCCTAGCTACTCTGATTTATAATGAATTTGGTGCTTCAAAAGGGTCTATTTACTTTCTTGTTAAATTTTAAAAATACATTCTACACCAAGTGGGTGGCAGTTGCAGGTGCACCTTCCCATAACCGTGGACCCCTGGTTGGACAGACTGTTTGCCATTATTTCTGTCACTCAGTGCTCTACCTAATCTCATGACTCTGGACTTTGCTGAACGCTTGTAAGATTTTCCAGCTCTGTACAGATGGCCTGCCTGTTGAGTTTACTGACTGACATCTTCTCAAGTGTCCCATTCTAATCTTCCCTGGTCCCAGGGGACTGTGGTTTAAGTCCTCTGGGTTTCATTGCTTGGTTCAAATGACTTCACTGCCTAAGAAGCAGTGTTCTGTGGTCCATCCTGCTCTGTAGTGGTCAACACTTGCCTTTGCACTTGGTCTGCAGTCAGGTCTTATTCTGGAGAGATAACTGCCCATGGACCAGGGTGGTCACTGTGCCAGTGCCTATAGCCACAGTCCCTCTTAAGGTTGGTGAAGATGTGACTGCTCTGAGATTTTATGATATTTGCACATTGCCTCATAAAATATCAGAATGAAGGGATGTACACCCTCTTGTGTTAGTTTCTATTGCTATTAAGAAATCACCACAAATTCAGAGGATTATTTTACAGTTTCCCTGGGTCAGGGGTTCAGTACAGTAGCTGTTCATGATCTTTCCATGCTGAAATCCAGGTGTAAGCCTGCTGCATGCTCATCTGAGGCTCACATCACTCTGTGACAGGGTGGTACAACTTGGGAAGGGACCCAGAGAGAGGACGAACCAGTCGCTCTACTCAGCTGCACCTCTACCTGAAAGAGTTGTCCTTCAGGGTTATTCAGGTCCCCATTTTCCTGCTTGTCATTAGCCAAGTGTCACTCTCAGCAACTAGAGGCTGCCCTTAGGTCCTTCTCCAAAGCAAGCAGGATAATCTCTCTCATGCTTCAAATATGCTACCTGATTAGTGTAGGCCCACTGGGGACGCTCTCTCTTTTGATTAACTCTGATTCATCAGATTAGGGACTTTAATTACATCTGAGAAATCCCTTCACCTTTGCCAGATAATGTAAGCTCATCAAGGAGTAGCATCCCACCCTAATCACAATCCTGCTTATACCCAAAGGGGACAGGGTTCTGTAGGGCCTTTGTACCCAGAGACAAGGACCTTGGTACCACCTCTCAGTGCTGCCTACCTCACTTCTCTTTTCTGTTTGAAATCCTCGTCTATTACATCACTGATTCCAGAAATTTCATCTTTTTCAATGGCCCCAGCTCCATGCTGGAACTTAGGAAAGGGAGTGAATCTTGGAAGTTTTCTCTTGTTTGTGTTGTACCCACGATGGCAAAGAGCACATGAGGAAGATCATAGAAAATTTGAAATATGCTCGTTCTAAGAATCTCTGTGGACAAACTTCAGACTAGCAGGTACTAAAATTATTCATCACCACCCTAATGAGTATAATCAAAATATGACTGAATACATCCCTAAATTCTCCTAAGGCATATTTTATAGACATCTGGTCAAGATGTGCTGTGACTTAACATAGTACTGGTGGCGAAAATAATAGCAATATGTGCTTTCAAACTAGGTGAGTATCTCTGTGCACTTGGTGCAAAATCTAAAACATGTATCATAAGAGGAGATGGCATTCATAGGGCCCAAGGCTGGAAACAGGCTACTGTGGTTAAGAGTTTGACTCCCAAAGCTCATAGAGAAATCACAGCCTGAAGCGGGGGTTGCAGTGGGCTCAAACGTCTGTGAAGAGAAGCTTTGAAAAGTCACCAGTGGCTTCCTGGTCTGTGATCTAGCTTAAGCTGCTACCTTAGTGTTGGGAGATCTGGGACAGCTTCATCTACATTCAGACCTAGTACCAGTCCCAGGGCTTTGCGGTGTTAACAGTTTATTATTATAGGGCAAAGAAACTTACTGGGAAACAAGCATTCACAGCAGAGGACAAGCTCTTAAAGGTTTGTAAATTGCCTGTGGAAAAGAAAGAAGGAAAATTAGCACATGTGCAAGCAGGTGATTTCCACTCAGAAACTTCATGTTACCCCCAGGGTCGCTCCAGTGGCAGACAGGAGTGCAAAACACACAGTCCTTAACAAAACACAGAGCTGTTGAATGAGCACTAAAAATAAGAGCAAAAACTTCTTACAGTATTTAAAAAAAAGAAAAAAAAACTGCAGTCACAGTAGTTGGAACTGTTTAGAGTTGGCAGGAAGTAGTTGGAGAAGAAAAACGTCTGGAAGGAGGGACTGTCTTAGAATGAGCACTGTGCCATGAGTTACAGAACCTAAGTAGACCTTGTCTTGAGTGCTATACTAATTTGTCATCACAAGAGACTGTCTAGGTGCACCACGCACTTACCCTGTATGGGACTCAGGTTTTTTATTTGGAAGAGTCTAGGTAGGGGAACTTGGAAAAAGTCTAAAATCCCTTCCAACTTCTAGAAAATGATGATTTTCTATTCTGTGACTATGTACACAAAGAAATAGATATTGATAACCACTGTGCCAAGTGGAAAAATACAGAAAATTGATTGGCCTTTATCTCCTCTGTATTTTTATATTTTGTCTTTTGCCTTATTACTTTGACTCTGAGGTTAGGGGAGAAATGAGAAAAAGTGACCTTCCCAATGCATGTGTGAAATCAAACATCTCCCAGCCAACAGTTCTTTTTGGAGAGGACTAACTCTCTCATGTTGTTCATCCAGCTAATATTTGATCGTCTGCACCCATGCCCTTGGATGAATTCATAAAATGCAATAAAAAATCTTTATTATTCCAGGCAGAAATGAGAGTGGGAAATGTCAAAAATACAGAAAAATATAGAAAAGTATTTTGATGATAGTTTCAAAGCAATGTTACAAGAACCAACTATGATTTCCCACAAGCATCTGACATCCTATCATATTCTTAAAATATATCACTAAGCTAGGAGGGCTTGACCAGTAATCAAAATGAAAGGTGACAATGCTAAAATAAATATAAGTATTCCAGAGTAAA